ACCAACACGCCCCCTTTCTCTCTCTCTCTCTCACTCTCTCTCTCTCATACACACACACACACGCTTAGTCACACAGACACAGGCACGCAGGGGTGCAGAGGCAGTGCAGTGCGCAGCAGTACTGAGCAGTGCTCCCTCTCCAGGATGTCTTTCGTCTTCCTTAATCAGAATTGGTCATTCTCTGTCCTATTCTCAGCAGTCACAGACAATCCTGTCAATAAAGCCTTCCAGCCACGTGTTCCATCGTACCGCCTGCCCACCTAACCACCACTGATGAGCTGCCATGATTGAAGCTGGCAAGGTCATGTGAGGTTCTCTGGCGTCCCATTTGGTCTTTGCCCCCAGTTTTGTTGCAGTGCTTCTCGGCTATTTTTTTTTTTTTTTGCCAGCTGATACAGGGACTCAGCCTTGCCTCGTCATGGGTCATTATGCCACAGAGGCTACCCGGAGGCTCAGCCTGACAAACCCTCACTCACTGAACGGTGGACCAAACCAATCAGCTATCACAAACAGCAGCTACACCATTACCATCCAATCACAGATCAGGAAATCAAGTGCAGAAGGGTATTAAAGAGGATTATTTGGGCCATCCTGGGTTTTTTTTCACTATAGGGAGATGTGCAGGACAGCAGCACAGCGTGTGCAGTATGGCTGCCCTCTGTGGCTGACAGCGGTGCTGCACTCTGTTGTGAGAAAAAAAAGAGGAGAGAGGAGGAGCATTGCCCAAAACAGATATGCTTTCCTCAGCGTGGATGCCTAGCAACCACAGCAGCTCCTTACCTCTGTTTAGAGCCTTCCCTCCCCCTCCAGCGGGACCCTCTCTGCAGTCCCGATTGAGAGCTTATATTGCACAGCGGCTGTTTAACACTCAAGGCACCTGGACATCACCCACGATTGATGTCAAATGTTTCCACTCATGTCCTCTACCTGGTTTGTAAACACTAAAGGGGGAGGCGGCGAGGTCTGACAATGAGCAGGAAGCACACCTGATGTTTACACTATAACATCAGCTGCTATGGGCGACCACACTGTAGATTAGATCACCTCTAGGGCTTTTAGTAAATTAACTAAAACCATAACACAGCAGGATTAAAAGAACTGCAAGCGCTACACTTCTTTGATCATGTTGACTGGGGAACTGTGTTCATGAATGTGTTTTTTTTTTCTATTATCTATGAATGTTGAAGCAATGAATGACCTTCAAATGTGTTATTTGTGTCTCCATGAAGGAGAAGAGTTTAGTCCTTCATTTCTAAGTCTGGTGCACTGGTCGGATTCTTTAGGTAAAGTTTGGGTCAAAAGGGAAAAAAAGAGACAGACAGAACATTTTAATAAAATCATGCAAAACTGGAACCAAGGCATTTCTGACTCTCTTCACTAAAGCTTTCTAAGGTGCATCAGCTAGCTGATCCTCCTGCTGGTCCCGTGTTAGTTTATTTCATTTTTTAAATAATGATTCAGAGGACGCCTGCCTACCTTAGAATGTTAAAGGGAACCAAACCTGTTCAGACAGCTGTCAGAGGATGTCAGAAGGCAGACCAGGAGCTCCAGGCCTGCCTTAACTCGGCTGGCTGACACACGTTTGGAGGTGTGAACAACTGTTTTGACATTCCCTTTTGTGAAGGGTTCTGCGGATTAACGAAAAAACTGTGTGAGGTGCTGTAACAACAACAACAGGAGGAGCTAAGGTAGCTCATATAGCGAGAGGTAGCTAATAGAAAGGAATGAAGAGCAGCAAAACACTGATGTTTTGCAGATAAAATAAGATGCAACATTTACGCAAGTATCTTGAGCAAAAAATATATTAATAGTTTGCATATGATGACCAAACATGTAACATATTGTCTGATCACCAAAATCTCAGATAATATAGTCTAATGATATAATAAGCATTTTATATCAAAATAAAACCTCCTGCTCAGCTCATCACAGCCATCTTCTCCCCCATTTCAAAGCATGGTGTAAGACAAACCAGTGGCACTGACTTCAGACATAATGAAGCTCCTTGTACAGCAGGTCCTGTCCTGCCTCCTGCTGTTTGCCTGCCGAGTCAACTACTCTGATGCTGTCCATAACAGCCTCCACTGAGCACTTGCATGCCTCTTGTTTCTACATCAGAGTCCTGTCTGAAGACTTTGGCTGTGCTTTCAAAACAAGAAATCGTGAGTAAGGCGAGTCTGCTGAGATGACGCACATGCATTTCTCAATGGATTGTAGATTCTCTTAATAGACAAAGGCTGTTATGTGAGAACAAACTCCTGCTACTCTTTGCAGGTACCTGAAAGGGCTTCACACTCTCCTCTCCTATTGTCTCTATAAGCAAATGGCATTTGTGCAATAGCAATATGGCCTACTGAGAGGACAGTGTGCCAGCAATAACACTAACACTTTTAAGACAATAGAGACTGACTTTCACAGGTACTCATGAGAGCTTTCTTCTTAGAAAATGCTTGTGTAAACATTGTGTCGCAACATAATTCTAGTCAATTGTACAATTCTCTCTTTCATCCTCTAGCTATGAGGAGAATCAGTTAATTTCCATCAAATACCTGCCAAATACCAGAGCATGAAAACACAGAAACTACCCTAGTTTACATACTGTACTCTGGAAGATGCTTGCAGTGCATCCCTGGCCAGTTTCCTTCGCACTGCTGTGTGTAGCCCTGCACAGGCCAACAATTTTAGCCCTGGCCCGACAAAGTCTGCAAAAATCAGCCCAAGCCCAGGCAAGACAACAACATCACTGTAAGCTCTCTCTGATGCGCACTCTCTCTGATACACACAAAAACACACACAAGGTGTATATAAGAACATAGAACATTAATTAACATTAGATCCTGACCGATCCTGTCGATGTGTCTGATCAATAAAGTTATGCTGCTGTGCCTCCTGCATAAATGTCATTCTTAATGGGGAGACACGCTTGTCATTTCTTCTGCAGCAGTCTGTACATCACATATATACAATTTGATATACCTAGCTAGTTAGCTGGCTCCTCGGTCTGTTGTGTCATCTGTGCATACATGGGCACAATGAAAGAAGAGAAGTTAAATGAGCCTGAATTTGACCAGAGTCCGGTCTATTAAAAACAAAAAAAAATGGCCCAAGACCAGCATCAATCGACTCATCATGTCAGGGCCTGGTTGGTTCCAACCTCTAAGTCTGTGTCCTCAATCTACACTGTAGAGCATCACACAGGGATTTAGTGAAATCAAGTAATATTTTCTCATAAACTACATTAAACGTAATATTTTAGTTTTATTAATTTAAATGATTACTCTTTAAATTGTTCATTCAAAGTGAAATGGTGAGTTGAATCAATGTACTGCGGAAAGTTTACTCATAAAAAACATAATCGACAAGATACAATGAGATTCACATTGCTGTTCAGTGTGGCGGTAAGAGACTTTTTTTGTAGTTTGGAGAAATCAAAAATAATCTAAACTTGTTATGTGTCTTTAATACATGTGAAGATAAGTCATGCTTGTTAATGTTAAAGTAATGAAAACAATGCCAGCCACGATGATGGTACTATCCTAATTCAGACCCAACAACACCTGCGGTTTTCCCCCCAGGTTGCCGTGGTGAGTGTGAGCTTATGCGTATAAACACTTTTAGCTCTGTCAGCACCGTTGTTAGCACTGCACTGTTAGCTGATTCCATTACAACTCAACCACCTCCATGTTTGCTTGTGACATCAGAGGAGGGAGCCCTGTGTATATTGCAAGTTTAACGAAAGTGAAAAATTAATTAGCGTATCGCCCCCAATTCGGATATGCTCCAAAATCTAATGTGTTCTCTCTTGGCCAATGCTACACCTTTCCACTATGTTTCATACAACCTGGGCCAGTTTTTTCCGCAGTCCCACTGAAAATCAGACAAACGCACAGCACCGAAAACATGACCTCCTGAGGTAATAATAAAGTATCTCTAATTTTTAGTCCATGTGACAGAGCAGTTGTTACTTAACTTATTAATTTATTATCTTATATCGTTATACTGTATGGTATTTTTAAGCAGTAGGGGAAATAATGATTTTAAATCAAACCAGCTTAAAATAATTAACAGTGTACTCTTCTAAAATCCAACACCCATCTCCACATCTCACGTGGTTTCACACACGCAATACAAAAACATACACCAATCTGTGATGACAGACTGACTGTTAATCTGTACATGTACACTGATATAAGATATTCAGGCCACTAGCCAAACCATCTGCATTTTGCACATCTATGTAAGAGCTGCATTTTCATTTGTATCATCTCGTTTCTGCACCACGAATGCTTGAACACTAATTGCAAATCAGTTCTGTTCTCTTAATTAGACTCTTAACTGTGAGGCTATCTAACACAGGAATGTACTACTGGTAGTTAAATGCCACAAAAATTAAGTGTTAAAAAATGTCAGCGTTAATACACTTGACTAACTCCTCAGCTTCTTGTCTCCACTTGTGGTTTACAATGTTTACTTTCTCTCTTATTTTAACCCACGGCTGGTATGTCATATAATGGTTACAAACAAAGTAACTAGATAAGTAAGTAAATTACCAAACATACATGTTTAGATGTGGGGATCTACTATTATAAACTAATGCAAATCAAACCTGCCCAAATTTAATTAATTTGTAGACACTGTATATTTTACGCTGTTTTTAGTGAAATGCATATTACATAATGGCATGTTGGGTAATCTCTTTGTAAACAAGCAAATACCACTTACAATAAATAAAGCATTACAAAATCTTGTTTGCTTGGTCGCTAAATCATCCAAATAAGAGATGAAAACACAATCACTGAGTGCCACATATGGTTGCATTTTTTAATGAAGAGCCTTGGTGACAGTAAAGAGCCTTGGCTGAGGAGTGCAGCGTGAGGTCAGATTATGGCTGCAGGCATCAACAAGTGCTGATCCCGGCACTGTCCAGACGCAGCTGAATCAAAGCTTATTCATCGAAAGCTTTACAACCAACGCACAGGCAAACAACACGCCACGCTCACCTTATCTGTGCCTCTCATCAGGCTGTTCCTCTTCGTCGTAACTAACCTTTGCCTCTGGCTCCACGCTACTTCCCACTGAGACTGTTTCAGGAGTTTCTCCACCTTGAAAGTCTTCTGACAACCCATTGTCCCCTGGCGCATAAAAAAACAGATATCAAGTTAAGCCACGCATCAATCGCATTACATCTCAGTGATACATTCCCTGATTGTTACAAGCAATAACCTACCATGACAGACCGGTTTGCATGCTTCCCCAAACGCTTGTCATGGTCAGCAGTGCCGGATGATGTCATAACTCCAGCATGTTCAGATTATAAATATCTGTATTCAGCAGAGTTACATAATAATGGATGTTGGATTATTGTCAGTACACACACAGACAGAAAAGACGGCACAGCTGCCACAGGAAATACATGAAACTACAAAACCATCTAAAATTACATTTTGGTGAATAAAAAAACAGGCAAGAGCTGCATGTAAAACAAATTACTGTATGTTTAAAGGATGAGTTTATTTCTTCTGAAACCATTTTATGTTGTTTTTGTTCATTACATTTAAAAGATTATGGCATCACATGCATGTGGAAATGTAAACAGCTTTAAACAGTGTCACTGTAGAAATGATGCAAAGGGTAGGGTTTTTTTTATTTATCAAATCTACAAGTTTTGCAAATGCATGGCTAGGTGAAAACCATGATATTTAAAAGTAATAAGATATTCAGATTGTCCGCATAATTTGACTGGAGCTTACAGTTCAAATTTTCATTGATGTTAAAACTGTGATTCACAGTAGCCCTGCTGGCTATAACTCCATTACAGACTAATAACACTACAAAATCCAGTAGATATGTTTAATATTTTACTACCACTGACCTCTGATGCAGGATAAGCCAGGCGCCAGCAGAAATGAGGCAGCAATTAAAACATCCAGTGATCCGGTCATCAGTAACAGTGTGGTTTCCACCAGGTCATCCAGGCCAACGTTCTCCTAAACCACTGCAGAGGAGACTATTAGCCGCTGGAATTTCCTTCCCTGTCAGCTCCAGTCCCAATAAGACCAAGCACTCTATTGTACTATGCAATTCACTCTTCTTTTAAGAGCAGAGATAGTATATCTGATATAGTGCACACTCTAACATAAAAATTGTTCTAGAGCCTTCAAATACAATCAGAGTCGCTTCTCCGAAGGCCGAGCAATGCGACGCCTCCTGCATCAGTTTGAGAGAGACTGCTATATGAGGTTCTCTGTTTTCTTCTCATTGGTTAGATAAATGTTTGGTGCCTGTTTAGTCATTCCAAACAGTCCTCTGCACTTCATTATGTAAGAGTCTCCGGCAGCTTTTAATATATTAAGGTCTAGAAGGTTATATCTGCACACACGAGATGTTCGAAACTGTACACACAGGATCTAATTTGGGATCCAGTGAGAGTGTAACAGGCTTTGTACAGTCAGAGATTCCACTTGCCAAATATCCAGTATTGTAGGTTTAGTAGCTTGGATGCCCTGTTTGTCTCTGGTGGCTGTGAAGCATTGCCACTCCATGAGAGATATAGACATATTAATTGTTGTGATTATCAAAAATCTTGCGTAGATATTTCATGGAAGCACCAATAGTCAACCTATAATATTGTTGCAATATTGATAAAGGTATTTTGTCAACAATATTGTGATATTTTATTTTCTCCACATGACCCAGCCCTAAAATCATGCATATCAAGCATGTATCATGTCTGTTTTGTCGATGTAAATAGAAAGAACATCAACGTGCCAGTGTCCCTACAGATGTACGCTCAACAGATACTCTACAGATGTTCTCATCACAGACCCCCACAGATCAGGTATTAGCCCCCACATCCAGGTCTTTCCAAATATAGAAACCACTTTAAACTCCTCATTGTCCCTAAAAAAAAAGTCCTCCACAGCCTGGCTACCCCCTACCTGTCCCACCACCACCCACCAGGACTAGCCACCACACCTGGGGGACAGGGCTGCTCCCACCCTCTGGGACTTACTCCCTAAAGGCATCAGAAACTCCCCCTCACTCTCCACCTTCAGGAAATCCCTAAAACACACCTCTTCAAAACTCCAAAACTGTTTCTTCTTCTTCCTTTCTGCCTTGTTTCCCTTCTTATGACTTATTTCATCTTTGGATTGTATTTTTTTCTTTGTTTTGTTGTCTTTGATTATTCAGAAAAATGCTATATAAATCGAATTTATTATTATTATTATTAGTATTATTATTATTAGTAGTAGTAGTAGTAGTAGTAGTGGTAGTAGTAGTATTACTACAAATACAGTAGTGGTTATCAGTCTCTAATCTTAATGAAAACGAAGGCCTAGCTATCACATGACTCACTGAGGCTAATTAGGAGATAGTTATGTGACAGGTGTGTTCACTTCTTCACTTTACCTGGGGAAAACCAACTGTGGCTGAAATTGTATTAGTCATGCCCACATAGGCTATAATAAAAATAGTCTCTCTTGTTTTTATTGGTGCATACAGTCATTTGTTTTACTACTCTCTTCGTCAGGTTACATAAATGACCATCACTAGACTGCGCTTAACTGCTAATAAAACAGGGAAGGTGAGCAACCGTTAGCCTAGCTTAGCTCGGATATTTACATTATGTCAGAATGCAGTAACAGTTTTGAAGGATGAAGCAAGCTACTGTGTGTATGTTGTATTAAATGTGTCAGCACTATCACAACAGGTACACTCGCTGTACTGACCTCAAACCAGGCTTTTACCCGAAGCTCGCTGCTTTCTGTGCTGTGGTCTTGTAGCCTCCGACAAAAAGTCTGCTCTCTCTCACCTGAATGTCCAGCTGTAAGCATTAGCGTGCTAACAGGGTCACGAGGGGCGTGGCTAACAGAGCCCTATTTCAAAATGACAGAAAGTCAGGGGCCAGTTAACAAACATATTACTCATATTTGTCAGTATTTTTATCGTAAAGGAATTGGCAGTTGTTAATCTTTCGCCGTTTACTGTCCTGACTCATCTTTGACATGAGACAAACATAGTGGCAGCAGCCCCCCCACAGGTCAAGTGTATACAGGGGCGTTTCTAGGATTTGAGGACATTCAGGGTTTAACTGGGACCTCATCCAGGGGATCCTCCCCTGGCACTTTCTTCAGATAAACAAGCTTTATTTTAATGCTTTTTCATGCATTACGGCATCTTATTTACATTCAAAGCACACACACACACACACAAAAATCCCAGTGTGCATCAGTTTATTTTCATTGTGAATTTGAAAATGATCAGCAGGCCATCCAGCACCCTATGGTTCAGTATCACTGCTCTAAGTGATGTGCATGTAGTCAAATGTTGCAGAGTAAAGGTAGCCTAATCATTTTTCTCGGAAAAGAATGACTTACTTAAGTACATGTAAGTGTAACTAGTAAATATGTGTTTAACAAGCTGAATTGGTCAAATAAAGGCACGCCACACACACAAAAAAAATCTTGCCCTGAAAATGTGTTCAGGAACATGTGCTGTGCCAAGACTGCCTCCCTGTATGTGTTTCCCTACTTAATCTGAACCAAACCACCATGAACCACGGAGGTGGGTGGTACATCTTTAAACAGTTGGGAAACACTTTAATGGGGAACAGACTTTGGCACAACACGGGGTCCAAGACGACTGTGGCAAGTCAGCTGTACCAAAGAAAAAACATTTCTGACTGTTACACTACCAGCACCAGAGACAATTCAATAGAGTTCTTTTGCCAGTAGGCCTATTACGCAGTTACTGTGCAGACAATTAACGGCAGCACAGAACTAGTAGCTGGCATCCCTCATATGATTCCTCCTGAAGAGTCAAGGAGTTATAGATGGGTAATGTTTGGAGTTTCTGACCTGTAGTAGGACAATGGAGCAATCTGGGTCTCTCATGAGAGGGTCCCAGATTTGTACGGCTCATGCACAAGGGCAAACACGAGGGTGACACAATAAACAGTCCTGCCAATATACATTATTCCATGCGCCAGTAAATGCAGGATTATGCTATTCCCTAAAAAATCTAATAACTGAGTAATTATATTCAATTCAGCGTACTGAAAACCACATCTACTTGTCATTGTTGGGGATCTTTGATTTGTAAATAGAGCAGTCCAGATTATATGGCATGGATTAAAATGTAGCAGATTTGTCAGCTAAACATTCATTCTGTGAACTCTACTCCAGCATAGTAGTGACAAAAATAGGTTACAAAATTAGTAATGCTGTTTATGTCAAATTACTATTCTACAAGTGTAATTTGAAAAAATTAGTAACAGCAGACAATATTTGCCTGCTTTTAAGTGGCAGGAGTGAAAATTAGTCATCCTCAACATTTATTGTGTTACGGTTTCAGAATAATGAAGACAGCTGGAGAACAGCTAAATACAAAATAGGATGTTGGCTCGACAGGATGTTTTTTTCCCTTAGCAACTATCATGTTTTCCCCAAATGGTGTACAGATTTTTAGGCATTCTAATATCTCAAATGGCTTGAGAAATAGTGCATATAGCTGCTTTAAATAGGGAAAAATCTTCCAGGGGGAGTGTGCCCCTGGACCTAACGTTTGAGCTGAGCCCCAAATTTTTACAGTGTCCATGAAGATCCATGAAGAGGAGGCAAAAAGATGCAGCTAGCTCACATGGAACAGAGAGGGTGACGAGAAGGACCCGAAGACAGGATTGCTTAATGTAGTGATAAGATTCGAGGGAGAGGGGGAGTAAAGAAAGTCGATTAGCTAAAGCAAATAAAATCATTGGAGGGCAAGTTGGAGAAGTCAAATATGCTGGAGTTTTGGGAGATGGAAACTTGTTAATAGGATGTAAAACTGAAGAGCAGATGGAGAAGGCAAAGAAAATGATAAGTGTCTGAAAAGTCAAAGTAGTGAGAAAAGTGGGCAAACAGAGGTTCGGCGATTGCAAGGGGGTAATTTCCGGAGTAGTCTTCCTCTCAATTAATATGTTAATATGGAGGAAGCAGTGGAGAACTTGAGTGTGGAATAGTTCAGTTAAAAAGAGAGTCAGCAAAAGGAGACTGAGACGGAGTTTGAGAGAAAAGTTTTCCCATAGGAGCTATATTTTTTTAGATTTCATAAGATATGCAAAGGAAAGAGAAGATTGTCTAGGTGTGGTGGGTAACATGGCTATTGTAAGTGTGGAGGCTGAGTGAGGGTTAAGTGTTGTAACTATTGAGAGGAGAGGTGGACCTGCAACACAAGTGTGACGGAAAAGTTGGGCGAGCTCTTAACAGTTTATAGTTAGTAGAAGAGAGGAACCAGACATTGTCAAGAGTCTTGGTT